TATAGTGTTTAAAGTGAATGTGGTTTCTGAGAGCGTGTGTGTGTGAGAGATTATGGCAAAGCCTCAAGGGCTATCTGCCTAAGGGGAGGGATGCCTTTGTGGAGGACTTTCTAAGGAAAACTGGCTCGTATACACGTTACACAAGGGTAAAACCACGAAAACGCCCATGCAGCCAGCCCATTTGTGGGATTCAAACCTCGGACCGAACTACCAGTGTCCAGCGACTACTGAGAGCGATCAGTATTCAGTTGTTATGGCTCAAAGGCATCATTTAATTGAAGGTCAAAAGTGGCTAATAATTGGTAGAATCGAGGGAGGTCATCTCAGATTTGAATATCCCTCAAAGCATCATATCAAGAGTTTTGAAGCACTGGATTAGTTGATAGACAGCCTGATCAAGGGTGACCAAAAGCAACGACTGCATCAGAAGACCATTTCCTGTCGTTGTCGGCTCGAAGAAACTGAAGCGACTACCAAGAGATTTAGTTTTAGACCTTCAAGTTATCACACGAACTCACATTAGCCATTCTATTGCTGCATGAATGCTTAAGAAGGTTGGAATATATGTGAGAAAACCACTGGTTTGTGTCCCACTCACTCTGCAGAGAGACCCATTTAAACTGGTGGCGGTGTCATGTTCAATGGAGACAAGATGACTGAGCCCAAGTATTGTTTGCTGACGAGTCCAGATACAGTCTGAACAGTTCTAGAAGTGTTTTGATCCAGAGAGAGAGAGAAGAAGGAACACGCAACTTCCCTTGTCTGTGAAATATCCAGTTTCCGTGACCATGGTTTAATGGTTTGGAGAGGAATCATGATAAATGGCTGCATATCTTTCAAGTATGTACTGGAGCCCAAGTTAGACTGTTTAGGGGTGCAGTTGATCTAGAGGTTTATATATATAATGAATGACAATGCTCAGCCTCATCGAGCATAAAAAAAACCAGTTAGTATACCAATAACATACATAAAAAAAAAATATAAACTACTTTTTTGCAAATACGTACATTTTTTCGAAATGGGATGTTTCTTCTGCTTTTCTTTTCGCACAAGAGCTAGCTGATTCTCTTGGAATATCTTGGGTACGAACAAAGTCTTCATGGCTCAACACGTCAGAATACTTGCAAATAGAGGATATCACTTGAATGGATTGGCCACCTGACTGAGCATGTGTGGAATGCTTTAGGGGAATGAATTCCTCCCCCAACACTCCGGAGCTGAAGAGCGTACTTTTAGAGAGTTAAATTTAAGCCCTGATTATACATATTATGTACTATTTCAAGGGATGATGGATACTAAAAACCATTCCTTTTATTAGCCCTAATGGAAAAAGATAAAACGATTAAAGTGTCACAAGAGGAGGATAGTGAGCATTTTAGAAATAGTATGAGGATATGGAAAATTTTAGCTTTGAAAGTAAAAGAGTTCAGTCCAAGCCTTTCTGATCGTGATGCACTGACGATATAATTATAACCGTAAAACTGCAATTTTCCTTAAATACAATCTGATAATGTAATAATAAACATGACTCCTCTATACAAGTGATAGTAGTTGTTGCCCAGTGTTTGATTCCATCGTTTAAAAAATCTACAGGAGCTTTGAAGTCATTAGCGGGATACGTGCACGGCCAGTGTGGTCACTTTTTAGTACTTTCAGGAGCAAAAAATTCACCCGCTCTCATAAATTCTTTGCACTTCTTGTAGAATAAGCCTTTGACATGTAAGTGGGGGCTTTACTTTCCTTAAAAGTCTCAACCTCTCACTAAGGCTTACTCTGAGGGAAAGACAGGCCTATATTCCGAAGTTAGAATAGATTTTTAAAACATATTTGTTATTAAAATAAAGTTTGTTTACTGAAACTTGCATAAAAGAAGTGCTGGAGCACTTTCATTTAGGGCTCCAGTGTGCTCTGGCTAAGATTATGATTTATCTCAAAAACTGAGAAGTACCAGAGCCCAGTGCAATTTAAGCTCTGTTGAGACCATATATAAATTTTCAGATAAACAGAACATTATGAAAATTAAATTTCATTTATTTCATCTGCGTTTCCTGTGACTTTAATTTAACTTCTAATCAAAACTTCTATATTTCTGAAGTTTCAGCTCTACTATGTTTTTATTTATTGAGTTTAATGGAAAATGATTATGATCATCAGTTAAACACAGCCATAATAAAAAATTGTGAAGTCACATTCCATATTTTTGATACCTTTCATATACAATTTTATAATCTTTATATATACAGCACAAAGTCTGTAATCCGGACTCTTCGGGTCTTCCGCGATTCCGGATTATATATCATCAATTTAAATCTGGTAAGATGGCATGCAAAAATTATACAATTAAAAATATGAAACCGTAATTTATGAAATAAAGAGCAATTATGATCTAAAGGGTATCAAAATTAACAAAAAAAAAAAAAAAAAAAAAAAAAAAAAAAAAAAACTTACTATTTATTTGTTTACTTTATTAAACATTTTTTTCAATGCAAGTCGTTTAAGTTGCTTCATTTTTTGTGATAATACTTTATCTTTAATTCTAACTTGTCAATCGAAATTTTTTCGTTTTCGATAACCTCTCTGTCACTTTCTTCACTATCGGAAGCAGTATTTTCTGGATCTAGAACCATACTACAGATTTTGCGGTCCGTTAATTGATTGATGATTGGGGCATTGTCGTCGCAATGAAAAACTTCTGTTATATCATCTTCATTTATTACCGCTTCTCCATATTTCTTTACAAAATCCAATAACTGGAAAATTTCACCTTTAGTTTGCGATGTCCGAACACCTTCAAATTTGCTATCATCTTCATCGTCCTCACCATGAAACATGGTAGCTGGCCATAAATTACGCCAAGCATTTTTTAACCTATCTGGAGAAACATCCTCCCATGTTCTTGCACTGCTCCACACAGCAGATTTTATGCTAAAAAATTTCAAAAAGTCTTGAATAGTCTTGCTACTGTTCAAGAAATTTAACATAGATTTTAAAAATGCTACTTTATATTTGCATTTCAGCACGTGCACTATTCCCATATCCATAGGCTGAATGATAGACGTACAATTTGGAAGAAGAATAATACGGATACATTATCTTTTACTAAAATTTTAAGTGAAGTATGCGCCGAACAGTTGTCAACAATCAGGACTATTTTTGAGTCATCAAGTAAACCGACCGAATTCAAATGTCGCCGAGCCTCAGGTATAAAATGATTTTCAAACACTTATGTCATTCATGAACACTTGTGTCATCCATGAAAGATGAACCAATCATCCATAAATCGCGCAATTAAAAGATTATTTGCACGATGTATAATGAGGAAATTTGTTACTCCTTTAAATGCTGGAGGTCGTGCATGTTTTCCGATTACGAAAAGTTTGCACTTGTGTGTTCCTGCAGCATTTGCGTATGCTAAAATTGTTAGTCTTGCTTTGGAATCTTTGACACCAGTTGGAGCCTTTTCTGTAGAGGTTGCCAAGGTATTTCGCGGTACATATTGCCAGAAAAGACCAGTTTCATCAGCGTTGTAAATTTGTTCTGGAGATAAATGTTCACTAGTAATGAGTTTAATGAATTCATCTGCAAATTGTTCAGCAGCTTCAGTATGAGCTGAAGCTTTTTTACCTTTTAATTGTCTTACACCATGGCGATTTTTAAATGTGGTTAACCAACCTGTCGAATATGTGCACTCAGTGTTTAAGTTCATTTCTTCATGAAATATTTTGGCTTGAGCCATTAGCATTGGACCTGTCAATGGGACGCCCTCGCTTGCGACGCTGTCTGACCCATTCAATCATCACTTAGCATAACGAACCTTTTTTTTGTTATTCATTGCAAGTGGGGTGTTGGAATCCACAAAAAATTCAAAAAGATTCTTTTTGCTTATGTCATATATACTTTCTAATGTCATACTCCTCGCATAATTTTGAGATGGATATGCCTTTATTCATTTTTTTGCAGCAAATTCCACTTTTTGTTTGATGGACATCAAAACATGCTTTCGCTTTGTAGATCTTTTGACAGCTCCAGAATTGGAAACTCTTTTTGACATAATCGAAAGTTCAAGCTTAACTTTTATAAAATTGCTCTAACAGTCTGCAAAAAATAATAAGCCAGATCTAATTAGAAGATTAAGGAACAGCGCTATCTGCAACATTAACTGAAATGCCTTAGAATCAGTAAAGATAATTTTAGCCTAGATTATACCATCTGTTATACATTAAATGTGCATGCATAAAGCATACAAAAAAAAAAAGTTTGTGGCTTTGAGGTCCGGATTATAGATCATTCTGGAGATAATGGACATCCAGATTACAGACTTTGTACTGTATATATATATGTGTGTGTGTATGTGTAAGATACAACAAAATACGATAGCTGCTTTAAAAATAATTGGCAACGTCAAAATTAACTATTCTAGATTTGGTGTTCTCCCCCTTAATTCATCTGTTCTCTCAAATTCAAGATCTTTCCATGTTATATAACATTGCTTGAAAAAGGTAACAAAAACTAAAATTATCCAATCATATCTTGTCTCGACAACTGTATCTACTTTGGTATAAATACCACTTGTGAGTAAATGACGTCATTCTTTTCCTAGCTTCGCCACTGCTAACATATCTCCATTGCTAAGTGCATTTGCCTAAAATGACGTCGTATTCCTCTCTCTACGTATATAAGACTTATTGTAATTCATTATGATTGGATAAATGTCTACTAAGATGGTTTCATATGTGTGAAAATAAATATTGGGACTTCATCAAAATTCATTTGTGTCAGCATCATGCTTTTGTCTTTCCACTCTGCCATCTAAGACTGCAAGCTGTAAACGTATCTGGATTCCTTCTATACATTAAATTATGACATAATATATTTAAAAAATGAGATTTTATACACAGGAGTGATTTTGTTATCAGTGCACATAACTGTTTTCTTGGTAATAAAATGCTACTGCATTTGAAAATGCTTGAAGATAATCATTATTAATGCACAAAGACTTATTTCAATTATTACCAATAATTTATTTTCATAATGCACCTTAAGTTAAACAAACTGGAATACAATTTTGTGATCAATTAATACCACAAAATTTAGATAAGGCACATTACCTTTCCAACAGCTTTAGCAGGACTAAGTAAATATAGAGCATGTATTTGTTATTACAAAGTAATATCTACATTCTTGCATAAAAAGTATGCTGCTAATTTATGCTTCAAATAATGATATAGGCTTTTCACTATAAATAAAGCTTTTCTAATCCACGCTGAAAATCTTTTCAATTTGAACAATTACCATGAAACTTCAACATTTCATTTGCTGAATATCTTGAACTCTCATTAAATTTGAATGAATAGAATATGAAGGGGGAAAAAAGCAAGTATGCATGTGTATAGTTAAAATCATAAATATGTAAATAAATTTTAAATTATCACAATTAAATACTTTTATGAAAATAATTTTATGAAACAATAATCTGATTAAATTTGAATGAATAGAATATGAAGAAAAAAACAAGTATGCATATAGTTTAAATTATAAATATGTAAATAAGTTTTAAATTATCACAATTCAATACTTTTATGCAAAGAATTCCAATATTACCTTATTTTATATACATAAATGTTAATGAATGCCTTACAGCCAGCTATTCAAATATGAAGTAAGTCAACATAAAATAATAAAGATAAGTACAGTTGTGAAGAAATTAAAAATTATAAATTACCATTTTGATACAAAAATTAGAATGACAGATTATAAAATGCTTAAAAATTAATATTATATACCACATGCTACATTATAAAAACTTACATCTCACTATTTTGGCTGAAATTTAATGAATTTATAATAATGTTCTGATGATATTTTCCAATTTGACATTTTAAAACACAGTCTACCATTAATAAATTCCTTATATTTCATTTATTATTAATATTTTTGGTTAATACAGTAAACTAGATTTCAAAAACAAATTTTGAGTAAAAATAAAATAATCAACAAATCAGTGAGTATTCTACTTTAGTAACTATACATATATGCCTAAAACTCTTAACTCTGAATGCCAAAAACTATCATATAGTTTTGTCAAAATTACTCAGAAGTAATATCAGTTTTCCAAACTATGGAAATTAACATATTACTAACTTTTAGATAAATTCTTCCTAATTTATAGTATATACATTAGAAGGTTCCTTTTAAAGAAAAGTATATTTAGAAGACCATTTTCTGTAATTTATTGCTAGTTATAAATATTCCTAGGAAAGTAATGTTTTTTTTTTTGAATAATGTGCATAGCTCAAAATGTAATGACCAATATTAAATGGTACTTACTTTTTATGGGTTCCTAAAGATGTAACATTTACTAATGAAAGAACACAGATATAAATTATTTTGAATCAAGAACTGATTTACTTTCAATTTATAATGTATTATGAAAAACCTTTTCTTGTAAGCATTTCAGCTGCATGGAAAGAAATTAGATCAACCTGAAGGACAGTACTAAAGCACACAAAACCAGGACCTTATTTTAACTCTACACATTCAACCTTAATATATTCTAAGATTTTGTACAAACAGAATTTGTTGGGCTCAATTTACAACATTTAAATCGTATATACATAAATTTGACATTTCTTACGCATAAAATATACACAACTCAATTTTATACATAAATCATATGACAGTACATTGCAATAAAGACGTTGGAGCTTTTAAATCATAAAACACATAAAAAAGCAACTAGATCACATATACAGCAGTTTAAGGCTCAATTACTCAAATGATTAAGTCCACAGTTTAAAACTTGAGCAACAAGGGTTGACAAAAGCACGCACAAACCATGGACTAACATTCAACAGCAAAAACAAAATTTGTACAAACATTTTTCTAGCTATCCCTTGCTCATGAAAGATACCTTAGCAAATTTTTTACAAATAAAACATTCAAAAGTTGGAAAATATCCTAAACTAATTTGTTATTATTACATAATATATACACTTTAAATAAAGTAGTCTGGAATCAGAAATTTTCCTCAGTGTTGAGCTCATGCAGGCACACATTTCAGAATTGGTTATTCATGTAATTATAATTAGTCCACACCGCCAAACGTTTCTGATCCTTCAATGGCTTTTATTAACCGATCTCTTAGTTCTTGATAGCTGTCATATGGTGGTAAGTCAATTCTGTTAAAGCTAAGGGGAAAAAAAACTATTGTTTATTATGCAAACAATGTATGTAACATTATTTACTATACAAATTCACAAAACGATAATCTGAAAACAGCAATATTAAACATTTAGTTTTCATAAACCTTGTAAAAGTAAATAAATGTAGCAATACAAATTCTCACATATGTATGATGTACACTTCCTCACATATTCATTTTAATATTTTTTTAAATACATGCATGAAATACATTTTAAAATCCACAGAACCATGTCATTATTCTGAACAAAACACTCTCTCAACCAATTACTGAAAAATAAATGAATGTGCTAATGGAGTTTTTACTTATGAAGGAAGAAAAATTACAAATAAGCTTTTATTTAAAACTCATACACTAATAGATAAACTAACAGGAGAAAAATAATTTATCATATAGTTTAATGGAAACAGATATTAAATAATTATCTTTACAAAATTTATCTCTAGTTATATCTCTTTATAAAATATAAAAGTGTGAAGCATCCTTGATAAATTTATAAAGATAATAGTTTATACTTTTGACAAAGCAATTTGACTAACAAATTTGTAATTTGAGTGCCCATGCTTTTATTTTTCATAGTATAAAAATGAATTTTAATCAAATTTTTGGGGGAAAAGAAACCTTCACTTCTTTGTATACGCAATCACAACAAGTGCATGCAAAATTTGGACTGGATAGATCAATAGAAAACCAGTTTAAAAAATTGATAGCAAGGTTTTGACTATAGCAACAAAAACCACAAGCAAAAGAGGGTGGAGCAACTAGTTAAAAAATTCTATAAAGATGTCTAATTAATAGTTTTTTTTTAAACACTCTTTAATAGTTTTTTAAAACAATCTTTAAAAGAGAGTGAAGATTTTTTTTAACCTTCAAAAATTTCAAATCTTTGTAACATAAGTATTTTTTGATGTCAGAATTTTTTTAAAGTGCCATAAAAGAACTTAATGCATCAGAATAAAACTTTTCAAAACAAAATTAATATAAACTTAAAATGGAAAAACTTAAAACAACAAAGCAAATTTCATTGCAAATAATTTTAAACTCTAATCAACGTTTAAACACTGTTGCTTTTGAGATTAATAACATGAAATGAATAATAAAAGCAAAATCTATCCATAAGAAAAGGGAGGAAGATAGCTTAAGGATCATAGCATTTTTAAATAACAGAATACGTCTGTTGTAAGCTTAATTTCTTTGCAAGAATTCTTTTTTAGCAAGGGAAGGGAGGGGAAATATATAAAATGAATATTAGAGAAAAAAAAGAGAAACTACGTTTGAATTGAAATTATGTTTCCAAGTAAGCCCAAGGAAGAAGTAAATTCATTCTCTTTTGCTTTACTGTAGCATATTTAAAAAAAAAAAAGAGAGAGGCACAGATATTTATCCAATTAATATCCTTTTATCATCATTGTTTTTAAAAGAGGGTGAGGAGATTTTCTTCCAGTCTGTAATTTCAAAGCTTTGAAAAAGATATATTTTTTGTGCTGAAATTTTAAAATAACAGAAGACAAACAATCGAGCAGTTTTTGAAAATTCACCATATCAGAAATGACATTAAGCATATTAGTTTCATTTAAAGGATTCTTTTCTCCGCTGTATCTAATGGGGCAAAAACAGTAAAATTCTGAGATTTTTAGTTTGCTCATTAAATGTGTGTGAAAAATTGTTTTAATACTGAATTAAAAAATATCTGCATCAAATTTTGAAGAAAAAAATTCCTTCACCACATTGTATTGTCATCTATAAAAAATGTGTGTGCGAAATCTGAGCTCAATAGGTTATCAGAGAATAATTAAAAAAATCATTGACAAGCATTTGATCATAGCAACAGACACCATGAGTGACCTAAAAAAAGCTTATACAGTCAAAAGTCGTTAATTCGGACACCCATAATCCGGAATGATCTATAATCCGGACGTCAAAGCTAAAATCTTTCTGCGCATGCGCCGCGTTGACGCATGCTCATAGGCGTTTAACGCGTCCGCGCAAGACATTTACGACTGCGCATATGTGTCTGCGCAAGTGCAGAATACGTTTTCGCGTCGGACGGCATAAGCTAAAATTATCTAATTATCTATTTCAGTTAATGTTGATAATTGCGTTGTTCCTTAATTTTTGAATTGGATCCGGCTTATTATTTTTTGCAGACTGTAAGAGCAATTTTATAAAAGTAAGCTTGAACTTTCGATTATGTCAAATAGAATTTCCGATGCTGGAGCTCCCAAGGGATCTAGAAAACGAAAGTATGATTCGATGTCCATCAAACAAAAAACGAATTGCTACAAAAAATGGATAAAGGTATATCCTTTGTTTATCTAACCGTTCCGAAATCTGTTTATCAATTTCACGCTGCTCTGCGTGGGGGGGGGGGACGTCGCGGCGCGCAATGAACTGGAAGTTGATCTGTCACCACTATCCTTATCTTCAGGGCAGATGTTTTTATTTTATTCGGCTTATAATTTCTTATTAAATGTAGTATTTAATCTCGATGTACTCCGTCTTTGATATGATTTAAATCAAATTCCTCGTCATTATAAATATCACGAATACAAATCAAATAGTTTTCTGGTTGCAATTTTCTAATTTCGGCTATGCGTAAGGTACGCACGCATGCGAGCGTTGAAAGAAATGTTTAATAAAGTAAACAAATAAATATTAAGCTTTTTTTTGTAAATTTTGATACCCTTTAGATCATAATTGCTCATTATTTTATAAATTACGGTTTCATATTTTTAATTTTATAATTTCTGCATGCCATCTTGCCAGATTTAGACTGATGATCTATAATCCGGAAAAATCGATAATCCGGAATCGCCGAAGTCCCGACGAGTCCGGATTAAAGACTTTTGACTGTACAAAACAAGTTTGTGTTCCCTTTAACAAGCAAAAAACCAAACATCAAAGCGACAATTATCTGGATAAATACTTGAATCATGACCAGTCTTACATACTGCTGAATTCTAAGAAAGAAGATTTTTTTTGCAAATAAAAAATGATTACTTCCTTCAGTGAAAAATATTTCACATTTTCATTTCAACTGACAGGCCAGAGACATCATAAAAACTCCAATCAATCATTAACCAAAACATCAAATAAATTCAAATGAAACTACTATCATGGTATGCTTTGTCTAAAGCGTGCATTTCCCAACCTCTTACAGGCAAACTGAAAAATAAAGCAGCATGTATCAATGTATATAAGAGTAAGCTTGCAAAAGTTGTCTAAATTCAAAGAGAAGCATGAAGACTGCGATGTAACTTAGTAATAAGCAAATAATTTCAATTCATATTGGAAATAATAATTCATTAGTGTTGCATAAATTAAATACATGCATCTTAAAAACAAACTACCTCTGATTCTTCAGGAAACTGTCCAATTAATTTACCATAACTAAACTTACTTCATAGCTCATAGTTTTAATTGCAATTACAAAGTAATTACTGAAACTAAAATATAACCATTCCAAAAATAAACAAATTTTCTTCACTGCCTCTGAATAATAGTTCTAAGATTTTAATTTACATTTGACATGCCAATATACTATCAGTTACATTAAGCAATGCCCCTTTACAATTTTTACTCAGCAATTTTAGATAAATTCTGAAATGATACTTGTTATAGATGTATTGATGGCGCTTAAAACTGCTACACCATAAAAGAAAGCAGACAACAGATGAAAATACATTAAAATGGAAGAATGAGAAAATTAATTTAATAAATTCTGAGGTAACGAACATGTGAAAATCAGTAGTTGAAACATTCGCTTTTGGCAACAACAGCTGTTGTTACAAGCTGTTGTTACATGGTTCAGTTGAAAAGCAGTTATAGGTACTACAATCTATGTGACTTCAAGTCTATGTCATATGTTGTTAGCTGGCTGGTGCTGTCATACTAGTCTGTATGTAGTCATTGATCAGCTGATTTCAACTGGTAAGACCTGAAGAATGTGTTGCCCAAGATAAACACCCTGAGTATTCAGGAAGCATAGGATAATGTGGGAAATATGTAGTTTTGCATTATCTTGTTGAAAAGTGGGGTGATGGAGGTCTGAAGATAGGACACAGCCACGGACATTAAACCTCAAGAATGCTGCAATGTTTCATCAAATTACTAAATACTGTAATTTAGGTTAATGACACCTCATACCTTCAATTCATTTGCTGGGTTGATATGAAGATAGAGAAAACAAGCTTCCAATATTCTTCCCTTTCAGTGCTTCAGCACATGAATATGGCCATAACGATGCTGTTGTGTGTAAGCAAAAATGGGATTCATCAGAAATAACATCATCACACCATTGATAGGTCTACGTACATTGCTAAAAAAAAAGGAGGGACAGTTCTATATTTCCTGTTCTACTGGGCCGATTGACAAAATTCAAATTGCATTCTTCATGTCTCGAAACTACGACTTAGGATATGTATTAGATTTATATATAACACTATTCTAACATAGGTATTTTGACACAAAATCGGACTTTTTCTGAGATAACATACCAATTTTTTTACATATTTTGATTCTACGACTCAAATTACGCCTAAATATGAAATTTTGTAAAATTTGGAGTGAAATTTACAGAGAAATTCACAAATTTATGTTGGCGCTTTTTGTTTCAGTTTGCGCCAAGAATAGTTTACTTGGCGAACTACTTAATATATGGCAACCTAGTTTCCTTTCCTGTGAGAGGGAAAAAAGTCACAATTGTTCCTTTTTTTCAAATAATAATCTTTATATTATATTTTTAATTACATCTGTTATTATTTTAAATAATTTTTTCTTTTTTCGAATTTTATTTTAATTGTTTTTAAGTTGCATGGTTTTTTTTTTTTTCGAATAACTGTTTTAAAATTTCTATTTACCTACTATCGAACTGCGTAAATAAAGGTGCATCTTTTTTTTTTTTTTTTTTTAAATAGTTTTCTTTATATATATATATTTGTCATAGTTTATTATTTTATATAATTTTTAAATTTTTATACTTTTATTTTAATTGTTTGTGTTTCATTGTCTCTTCAGATAATTGTTTTAAAATTTTCTATTTATTCATTCGAACTGAGCATTTTAAATATATTTATTAACATAAATTTTCTAGGATTTTATTTTATTTAATTTAATTGCGTTTCTTTCGGAAGAATACTTTGTGTCCCAGACGACGATGCATCTGAAACATTAAAAGAGAAAATACAGTAAAGCACAGTTAACACGTCTTTCAATGTTCCGTTTAGAAAAGATATATAAATGAGAAAGATGTATAACCGACATTTTAACTTAGGATGACTTGCATATATTGTTTTAAATAGCTGTAGAGACATTAGGTATTTTTTAGAAGCAGACGAGATGAAAACTTAGCAACGCCTTCGCCGGAAATCGAACTGCAGACCTCTTAATTATGCGCTGAGTGTGCTGACCACTACACCACGAAAGGTAGCTAAGAAGGCGGAAGAAATATATTATTATATAGCTTTAACATTGTGCTCATTGCTTTACACAATTTTATCATTCTACATTAAGTTTCTTAAAATGTTATTCATATTTTAATTAAATATTTTATTTTTGAAATCGCAAGAATCAAATATCATAAGATTAATTAAAAAAATACTAAATTATATGCAAAAATTTATTTTTTTCTTCTTAATGGCTTACTATTTTTCTTCATGCATTCAGCAAGTATATTAAAAAGCATCCAACTTTTCAAAACATCTTCGTATTTCTGACATTCATTTTAAATAAACTTATCACCTTCCATTTCATAAAGGCCCACAAACACCCAAACAGCAAAGTTGCTGAACACTGGTAGTTCGCTCCGGGGTTCGAATCCCGGCAAACGGGCTGGTTGCATGGGCGTTTTTGTGGTTTTTCTCATTGTAACATATATTCCAGATAGTTTCCCTTAGAAAAGTTCTTCACGAAGGCATCCTTCCTTTTAGGCAGATAGCCCTGCTTTGCCGCAATTTAATAAATCCAGTTCAATCCATTTCATCAGTATTTGGTCAGAGCTTTTATCATTCTTTAGTGGCTAAGCATTTTCAAGACATGAGATGAAAGGAAAGACTAGTTTCATAAAGAGGGAAACCGTCTTTAGATGATATCCATATACGTTTTAGAGACATTAGGATTTTTGGACGCAGATGACTTGAAAAATGAGCAATGCCCTCGCCGGGAATCAAACTACGCCCTCTCAAATACGCGCCAAGCATGCAAAACACTACACTACGAAGGCACACTAAGAAGGCGGGAAAAATACCTTATATACTTCCCCCTTAAAGGGGACCCAGTCGCCAAAATCCTGGTGGTAAAGAATCATCATTCACCACCTTTTAGTTCGGGCAGCACTGCAGAAACATTATGGGGTGGGGAGTAGAGGAAATGAAAAATGAGCAATGCCTTGAAATTGAACCACGCACCTCTCAAATACGTACCGAGCATGCAGACTACACCACAAATGCAAGCTAAGAAGGTGTGGGCGGGCATTGGATAAATTCCTGAATCTTCGAATAATTTGACTGAGAAATCATGGTATGTTCTGTTTATGATACGATATGATGTAATTTAAATTTATACAACCATATAGTCACAAACCAGTCGCTCTTCAATTTAATCTGCAATGATATGGATTTTGCTTTTCTGTTAGTACTAACTCAGTTGCTGCTATTTGCTGGTATGCATGCCCAAGTGTTTTTCTTTGAACACCCAACTTCTTTAAAGTAGATTCCCCGTTAAATTTTTGATTCCCCCCAATTTCCTTCATTACTTCTACATTTGTTTTCAGTGCTGACACAAGAAATTTAAGATTTTTCGATTGTTACACTTCCATAAATTTTGTATTCCTATCAATTTTTTTTAAATATATGCATGCAAGTTTAAAGCAAAGTCCAAAGGATAATTATTTGAAACAAAAGATTTTTGTTAAATAAAAAAGAAATAAACCACTCCAGCAGCGGTTATCCTGTACCACAGAGTGGCACGATTTTTATATCGGGTGCAAACAATCTAAATCATATTATTTAGTTTTTAAAGCCTAATAATTTCTATATTAAAGAACATTTTTTTACATAATCTACTACACGAGACAAAATTACTATTTAAAACATTCTTTCTAAAAGGATTAATGTAAATATAATGTAAATATATATATATATATATTTAAAGCTGGGACATGAACCAAACTGTCAACGTCCTGTATGCTTAAAAACATTGTGAAAATAGACATCAAACAGACTTTCTCAGTTTTAGACAACTCAATTTAAATGAAGTTAAAGCAAAGTAGCAGACGATCACACGGCGAAGGTAAAAATTTATTCTTACAAACATTTTAAAAAAAGGAAGAAAGAAATTTTTTAAAAATTTAAAAATTTGAATAATATCATCTGTAATTAAAAAAAAAATAGCTTTTCATATGGTATTAATAAATATTTACTACACATCAGTGAGGGGAAAAACTCATATAATTAATCCTTTTTAAAAATTTATTTGAAATTTAAGGTTAAAAATAGCTGTGGCAATTCACTGTAACAAAATCTATAAATCACATTTGGCGTTATTATCATTCAAAGGAAAGATGCCAAATTTCAAAACGCGAAAATATGTAAATTCGTGTATATCTTAGAAAATTTTTAATATAAAACTCTAATTTTTTGCAGGTATGCTTAGAACTACACCTACTTTAAGATGATGGTCAAAATTTTTTAGGTTGTAATTCAAAAATTTTTTTGAAAAATTTATAAAAATTATTTAAAAATAGAAATTTAAAAAATAAAACACAAAAAATGAGTGAATGTGTTTTGGAATGAACCTAAATTTCCAAATGTGAAAGGAAAAATCAAAAACGTTTAATAAAAAAAGAGATATTAATAAATATATGCCGAATTCAATTAACATTGAGAAGCTAAAATTTTGAGATTTAATTTTTTAAAAACTACTCGTACGATTTTTACAAAACTGGCACTCTGGCATAATTTGAGTCGTAGAATCGAAATATGTAAAATATTGGTATGTCATTTCAAAAAAAGTCTGATTTTGGGTCAAAATACCTATGTTAGAATAGTGCTATATATAAATCTAATATATATCCTAAGTCACCCTTTCGAGACATGAAGAACGCAATTTGAATTTTGTCAATCGGCCCAGTAGAACGGGAGATATAGAACTGTTCCCCCCCTTTTTCTTTCTTTCTTTTTTTTTTTAGCGGTGTACATCACTGAAAGCACTATTTTAGGCACTGATTCTTGTGCTGCAGCTTCAAGAGAATCAAACATAATGGTTGCCATGTTGACAATCCATTAGTTGCAGATTTCATCATAATGTATAATATTCATATAATTGGTTCTGTGGAACACCTAATTTCCAGATCTAGGGTGTGTGAGGAAACTGTATGACTATAATAGTATGTGATGAAGCTGTATAACTACAAGTATGTGATGAATAGCAAGCAATATGAGCAAGATTTCTATCATTTCGAGCACTGAAGAATGGGTGCTTGAGAGATCACACAGTTGTGAAGCTGTGTCCTCCTGAACCCATCAATTACATATTCTCATATAGTGACTCACATTTTAAACACTTATGATTTTTAGTTTTATTTGAAACTATCAGTTACTAAATATTAGTAAAATGACTTTTTCTTTCATGTATATTGTTGATTGTCTTTATTACAGTTGTTTTTGGAAAAGTTATTTGAAATTTTTTTTAATAAAACAAAAATTGTCTATTAAAAATATTCTGAAATTGAACTTGCATGCATATTCAAATTTTGAACAAGCAGTTTATATTTAATAAAAACATAAAAAAGGACATTAAATAATTCAGATATCTTTTAGCAAAAATTACACTTTTCATGCACTTTGGATGGATTTAACAAATTTCAACAACCTTATTCACTGGGATTTAAACCCAAATCAGACAGCAAATCATAGTGGATAGCAGTTCTCAACTGCTTAACCACAGTGAGCATGGAAAATAAGAATTTGAGAAAATTTAGGTTTATACAATGGGAAAATAAAACTACAGCAATGTATAAGTGAGTAATGATTAACTGAAAAAATAGCAAAAATTACCATGTATGTGATCGAGGAAGGTTATCTGTGGAACCCCATTTCTCTATAGTGAAAAGTTGAGGGCCATTACTACCATACAGTTCTTTAAAGCCATTCATGGGTACTCTAGAGGTTCCAGTAACAAACTGAAGCAATCTTGCTCTCATTTCATTAGAAAATGACATGACCATCTATAAAACAAAAACAAAACAGCTTCCTTAATATTAAATATGATCTAAATGAAATCAAAGATACAAATTGCAAAAGTCCTACAATTTACAAATTAAAATACTAACATTTGAATTAAAATACTAAATTTTAAAGAAACAATTCTGTCTAATGATAAGTGAAAAAATTTACTCTCTAAACTTACTCTCCAAAACCACTGGATTACAATATGATTAGCATGGTAATCCCCTTTGTAAACTGTGTTTTGTTTCCAATCTTTCACATCAATTTTGCCTATACCACACATTAGCAATTCTAATTCATTTTCATCAAATAGCTTTATCAAGTGCATTGGCACGACTTCTCCAAAACCTTCCAGAAATGCATTCATTTGTGGTTCTATTCTTGAAACAAATCTCCACTGAATAACTAAACTAAAGGAGAAAAAATACACAATTTGTTATTAAGATTCAATACACTAAAAAAGAGAAATTTGTTTAAATTATACAATTTGTTACAACGAATTTTATTACAAATTTAAACAAAATGAAAAATACTGCTCCTTACAGTTCACTTTTACACTGGGTATAATAAAATAAAAATTATTAAAAATTAAATATAATACATATATATCTGACATTTTAAATTCACATTCATTCAGAAAGAAAGATTTAAATTTTAATAAATTTACATTAAAGAAAGATAAATAATATATGAACGTACAGAAAAAATATCTAAATTTCCATTACAAATTTTATATGACTTCCTTTAATTCTACATACATAATATCAAGGCAATATGAAAATTATTGCCAATATGTCAATGATGACTGTTACGAAAGCAGCAGAGATGTGTTCTTTAAGTTCATTTATGCTTGTGAGTTTAGGCAACACAAACACGTAACTTTTCCCATACCCTCAAAATTAATAAGTTTTAGGAAGTCATATCTGCTTATGTAGAAGGTCAGTTACTTAAACTCAAATCATCTCATTCACTGTCCCTCACAGATATCATGCTAAAGACAACAAACAAATAACTAAAAAAAAAAATCTGAAATTTTTCAGATTTTAAATTACGTCCAAAGGGGCGTTTTTTTAACATTTTGAGTGTTACCTTTATTTATTAAATATCATGTTCTTTGCACTTAAACCATAAAATTCAGTTCAAGAGCAATATCGCAAAATAATGTTAAATTAAGCATATCTTTAGAATTTCCGATATACACAGTCTCGCGAGCTGGAGATAAAAGTATTTTTTTTCTATATAACGTTGCCATTTCTCGCTTTAAAGCATTGAGTTTGTAAATATCAAAATTCGTTAAAGTTTTACAAAATATAAAATCTATAATAAACAAATTCCAAATTTGGGATTTCAGATGCCCATATTCGCAGTAGGATTTCGTCATTCAAATTCGATGGCTCTATGTACCATTGTTTTATCACAATGCGAGAAATAGACAATCATTTATGCAGATTTTTTTTTAGTCCAAGGGGCTTTGTCCCTGAAGGACTATTGTTTCGTTTTGCGATTTTGCGTTGGGACTCCTATAAACGTCGGTTCACTTTTCAAAATGTTGCCACAAAATGTTAGAGTCCTGCATTATATTTGAAGAAAATTAAATAATGAAAAATCTGCATAAATGATTGTCTATTTCTCGCATTGTGATAAAACAATGGTACATAGAGCCATCGAATTTTGAATGACGAAATCCTATGCGAATATGGGCATCTGAAATCCCAAATTTGGAATTTGTTTTATTATAGATTTAATATTTTTAAAACTTTAACGAATTTTTGATTTACAAACTCAATGCTTTAAAAGCGAGAAATGGCAACGTTATATGAAAAAAAAATACTTTTATCTCCAGCTCGCGAGACTGTGTATATCGGAAATTCTAAAGATATGCTTAATTTAACATTATTTTGCGATATTGCTCTTGAACTGAATTTTATGGTTTAAGTGCAAAGAACATGATATTTAATAAATAAAGGTAACACTAAAAACGTTAAAAAAACGCCCCTTTAGACGTAATTTAAAATCTAAAAAATTTCAGATTTTTTTTTTTTTTTCATTATTTAATTTCTTCAAATATAATGCAGGACTCTAACATTTTGTGGCAACAGTTTGAAAAGTGAACCGACGTTTATGAGTCCGACGCAAAATGCCAAAACGAAAGCAATAGTCCTTCGGGACTGAAATCCCTTTGGACTAAAAATGTTTGGTTGCTTAGATATAAAAACACATATTTAAACAACAACCTTTTTTTTTAAACAGCTCTCCTTTTACATTCATATGCTCAACATAGATAAAATGTACTGCTTGACAACATTTTCTCAATTGAATGTTATCATTTATCAAAAATATTATAGAGCCAATGATACAAAAAAACTTGCATCAGTCTATCATAATACATTAAGAATATGTAAAGAAATGTATTTACTTTATGTATTCCATCTTATTTTCTTGAGTTACTGGAATTTCACTACCATTTGGTTTTAAATCTCTCTGCTGCATTTGACCAAATAAATCTTCATCTACAGAAAACCTCAAGTCCAAGTCGGCAGGATCATTCTCCATAATCCATAACAGTGAATTATAATATTCAGAATCCTATAAAATTAATATTTCAGTGTAAGGTATCCAATCCTAGAGGAAAAGATTCCACAATAAAAAAAATATGCATATGTTCTGAAATAACAAGGTTCAGTTTGAAATTTTGTATTTCTGACAGGCATAAAGTATTATTTATTAATTTTGAGCTTTGCATAAATTTTATGCATTGTTGAGAATGAAGGGGCAAAATTTAATTCAGGGTTTTGATTTACCCAATGCAGGATGCTTTGTAAAGTTCATGAAGACAAAAGTCATCCTGAAAACATTAAAACATTTTACAAGGACAGACACAGCAGCAAATGTTTCCTCATGTAGCTAAACTAAAAACTAACTCTTAAGTTCTCGTATGCATTTTAGCTGATGTCACTTTCACACTGCCAGTGTCACTCTACTGCAGCTTCTTCAGTACACAACATCCTTCTAAGATTCCTTCTTATGTGTTTTCTTAGATTCCCCCCCCCCCCCCCCAAGTAAAAAAAAAAAAAAAAAAAAAAAAAAAAAAATCTGTATTTTGCTGCATTGTGGTCTTTGGTATATATCAAAAAAGCTTTTTCAATGCTAGCATATGTGATAAATTCTAAAATAATCAATAATATTGGGTATCATTTCCATGAGATTAAGTCCTTTAAATACATAAATAACATTCAAAGATCTTTTCCTTCTCTGAGAGCTGTAAGTACCAAAGAGTAGGCATATCTTTGAACTTTTACTATCTAAATAATTACTGGCCTGTGAGGCAAATAATGGCATTCATTATTCAATTTAAATTCTAGTATGGATTCAATGATACTCATTTGTTCCAATTCTTGGACTACCTTTTCATTAAAAGAGTTTACCATTTTTTTAACTTATAACTGTTTCAAGTCTCTTCCTGGTTAGTTCTTTATTACCAGATAAATGTGCACAATTGCAATTTCATGACAATTCCAGCTAGAAGAATTTTCATTTTGTCTTCAAAATTAGTTAAACTATCTTTCCCCTTAATAGTTTGAGAGTGGTAGGTGCTACTAAAATTTCATATGCCCATATTGCTCAAAAGAATATTTCTAACAGACACTGACAAAGTTGTTAAAATGCTATCGTCTACATATGAATTCCAATTACCACTCATCCAATGAGTCCCAACCTAAGTTTAATTTTCATGTTTGAATTTAGCTTAACTAAATTTTCAGTCAACAATTTTTCCTTGGTGCCGCATTCAAAAGATCAGTCTCGGTTTCTTCAGAGAAAGAATCTATTAAATCTATTTCATTTTAAGTCCTTTAAAATTCCATAAACATTAATTTTCAGAATAAATATGCATATCCCCCCCCTGAAAAGCTTCAAAACTGCAAGTATATGTATGACCTTTTTAAATTACTGATTTTGATAGAAAATATTTCATATTTCTTCAGTTTCGTTTCATCCACTCACCTAAACAGCACATGGATTACACTTTCATTCCTAAGTGCAGGAACATTCAGTAATGTCATAATTCTTTAGTACTACTTTGACTAGCCAAATTGCAAAGAGCACAAATTCCTCTCTTGAGCCTAAATGACTATGAAAAGAGTCTGCAAGTATACAGCTTCACTACTACGGCAATTAGGGAGGGGAAAAAAATCCCGCTTGGAAGTTTTCCATAAAACTGGGTTATTCAATACAAAACCAAAAAATTTCTTTTGCATACCCATTAAATTCTATTAAAATAGTTACGTACTCAAATTTCTAAAGCTTTCTGAAAACTGATAGTGTTTCTTTGAAATTAATTATAAATATAATGCTCTTTATTCTTTAAACCTTTTTACAGCATCTTCTTATTTGATTATTTAAATTAATTTATTTAGTGACAAGTTGCACAAAACGTCATCTACAGGACGAAAAACTGTTGAATCAGCATATGTTAAATGTTTGCAGGTCAGATATTTTCAAGAAATATTGTTATTGTTATTTTTAAAATCAGATAGGATTCTCTAACTGCATATTATAGCTATATGCAAGAATGTAGCCAAGCAGTTTCTGAAATATATCTTAGAGAAATTAAGTAAGAAAAACCTTTAAACTCTTAATTTTCTTATAGTAAACAATGTAGGCAGGTCAAACTTAAAAAAAAAAAAAAAAAAAAAAAAAAAAAAAAAAAAGGTAGGTCCTAAATAAAGTTAGGCAGGTCAAACTAAAAAAAAATGGGCAGGTCCTCTACAAGTGAAACAGAGTAAATACTTGCTGATGGCTGTGGGATGCTTAAAAACAATAGCATATAAAAACCTCCATTCCTTACAAAAGGTTGCTGGCTTTTAGCATTGTACGTATAAGTTATTAATTATAAATTAATGGCTATAAATATTCTTCATTATTCTTTCTTTCTTCTTCAACTGCACTACAGCCTATCATAGGCCAAGGCCATCTCAATAAGGTTTCTACAAGTGATTCAATCAGATTCTTCAATATCACATAAAATTAACACTAATAACATATATTCAATTTAGGTCTTACAAATTTAGTGAATAAAAATTTACATTACCCCACAATAATAAAATAATATAACACAATATATATATTAGGGAAAAACTTTGAATGCGTGTATATGTGTGTGTTACAGCACATTGTGCTTATCTATCTATGGCTAGAGGAATGTGACTAGTAAGCACACTCACAGATATTCACAGCCATAGCTGACTCTCCTAAAAAATAAATTTTAATACTAGGAGTATACTTATGGAGACAAAGGGCACATGCTATCACTGCCTGCACACCCCCAAAGGAAAATATGCAAGTAGTACAACAATACATAGTGAAAATAACTGGGTCGAGTGCAATAAAAGATAATCTAGTATTCTCAGCATATTGTAAACACTGGTTTAGAGTTTTTCCTCTCCGTCTCCGGGCTTTGGGGAAATCATATAACACATTTTACAAACAATGACCAAGGAATCTCTTTTTTAACTACATCTGCACAAACTTCTCTGGTAAATATTCTGTTCTTTTTTAACTGTGAATTCCTTTCATTGATTTCTGTGAATGAAATGTGATTAAACTTTATTTACATAAATGAGGCATAAAGAAACAGTACAAATTAAACTGGTTTTTATAAAAGCATTTCTTTGCATCAAGATGATCCTCTTGACTGTCTGTAATCAGATTTTCTTTTTCTTTTTTTTTCTTTTATATATATATAAGAGTGAATTTTTCTTATAAATCCAACATCGCTTAAAATTTCTTGAAGACTTTGTATCTTTGGGGAGGGGGGAACTATCTTTTCAGAAACACATTCTCAGATCTGAGGTTTGGTTGTAAAAGACGAGGAAAGTTAGTTTGCAACATAGTCCCAAAACTCATAAATTAAAAGACAGTACATCTTCCAACATGTTTCATACCATTCATTTCTAATGTTCTTCATTTCTAACATGATAATTATTAAGAAATCATCTTAATTTCTAACATGTGTAATAACATTCATCTCTACATGATAACATGTTTTTCATTTCTAACATGATAACGTGTTGCATTAAATATGTCACACATACTGAAAACAAATACCGGGTGGCCATAATTAAACTGACAGTGCTCACAGTGTTCTGTAGCGTGATCTATTTGCGAGAATGATGCCACATTTTGTAGGAAGATTAAACAAGACGGGGGACGAAGGATTCTGCGAAAAAACACAAATTATTTCCAAAAGTCACTGCTAGGGGAATATTTGGCACTGTGTAATAGAAAATAGAGTGTTAACAAATGAAAATCAATACGGAAATTACCTTTCATTTTTCATTCAAATGAGGTTCAATGTGGCTGCCGCCTGTTGTGGACCACATATTGCATTCTGTAACATGTCTACAGGAATCTCCCGTACAGTCTGTGATATGTTATCCTTCAACGTAGCCAGGTCCTGGACCACTCCTTGATAGACCTTGGACTTAAGGTAACACCACAGCCAGAAGTCGCATGGGGTAAGATCAGGCGACCGAGGTGGCCATGCAGTTGGAAAGTAGAGGCTAATGACTCTTTCTGTTGTGAATTTCTGTTGTATCATCTGTTGCACCCGTACAGCAACGTGTGGAGGGGCTCCATCTTGCATGAAAATGATTTTCCCCAGGCATTGTCTTTGCTGAAGTGCCGGAATGACAAGTGCCGGTATTTCTCTCCGGTAAACAGAACAGGTTTCCGGTCCTGTCGGGGTAATGTTCTCATAGAAGAATGGACCTACGATAAATTCCGCTGTGAACCCACACAAAACAGTTACCTTCTGTCGGGGTAATGTTCTCATGGAAGAATGGACCTACGATAAATTCCGCTGTGAACCCACACAAAACAGTTACCTTTGGTGAATGTAAGGGAATTGCTGTGACTGCATGTGGTGGTTTGTCATCCCAAATTCGGCAGTTCTGGGTATTCACAGTTCCATTCAGGTAAAAGTGGGCCTCGTCTCCCCATAAGATTTTCCACGGCCAAGCATCATCCACCTCCATTCTGGCAAGAAAGGTGAGAGCAAAAGTCAATCGCTTATCATGGTCGGGGTACAGTAACTCCTGTACACGGCTGATCTTGTACGGATAGAAGTTGATAATCTTTCGTAAGATTTTCCATACCGTACTGTAAGGCATATCCATATTCCGAGCTACTCCACGAGCGCTAGAGGTGGCAGCAATATTATCTGGTCCTCTGTCGACCACCGCCGTGGTAACTGCTTCGATTGTATCCTGTGGTACAGGTTTTCGTCCTTTGCCTGACTGAACCTTCACAGAACCTGTTTTCTCAAACGTCGCAATCATTGCTTTTAGCCCATTAATTGACACAGGGCCATAACCTTTACGCAATTTTTTGTGCGTTCTAAAAGCACGAAGAGCGGCTGACGCGTTGCACTGGTTGAGGTAAAAGAATTTTACCAGTAACGCACGCTCAACTAAAGAAGGAGACATTGCACATAAACTTTCAATCCGATTGATTCGAAACGTAACACATTGCCTTTTAAAACCCAAGCAGCTGGCACTGTGCGAATGGATGTAACGTGAAATTTGAATAAAGAACTTCTTCTGCTCAGCGTACGTGATATTGCAGATCACGAGACTTTATCGGTGTTTATGTAGATTTTACGCTTTTTTAAAAGTGTTGCCATATTGCACTTGAACTAAATCAGAAAATGTGCATAATAAAAGGTAATTTTATTCCGTATTAATTTGCATTTGTTAACACTCTATTTTCTATTACACACAGCGCCAAATATTCCCCTAGCGGTGACTTTTGGAACTAATTTGTTTTTTCGCGGAATCCTTCGTCCCCCGTCTTGTTTAATCTTCCTACAAAATGTGGCGTCATTCTCGCAAATAGATCGCGCTACAGAACACTGTGAGCACTGTCAGTTAATAGGCCCCGGTTTTAAGAGATAAAATACGGATATACTATATACAAGGAATACAAATGAATAAAATTAATGTCGGGCATCAGGAAGGATAGTTTCGTTGTGTCCGCAGGGGGGGCAGCGCGGCCTCTTGGGGTCAGAGCGTTGCGCAGCTCAGTCTGCATCTAGCCGTGTAGTGAGAGGTTCGTGCTGTGCTCCGTTCAGATACTGTGACGGTTTGAAATGTCTGCGTTAACTGAAAATCCCGCGAGCTGCGCTCAGTAATAAGTTTCTGACTGCAAAAAACTGTAAACCGATAGAAATCTATCGACAGCTTCGTGAAGTGTATGGGGACAACATTATCACTGAAGGTGGAGTGCGTCAGTGGGTCATAAGATTTCAAAATGGCCGAACCAATGTTCACGACGAAGATCGAAGTGGGAGACCCAGCATAGTGACCGCCGGAACTTCTCGAAAAAGTCGATGCTAAAGTCCGTGAAAATCGAAATTTCACAATAACGGAACTTTCTTTGAGTTTCCACAAATTTCGCGAAGTTTGTTGCACGAAATCATCAGCGAAAGCTTGGTTACCACAAGTTTTGTGCAAGATGGATTCCAAAAATCTTGACAGAGGACCACAAAAATCAGCGAATGGCTGCAGCGTTGAACTTTTTGGACGCTTACCATAAGGATGGTGACTCTTTACTCGATCGCATCGTTACTGGTGACGAAACATGGGTGAAACATGTGAACTGTGAAACGAAATTGCAATCAATGCAGTGGGGGCACACAAGTTCTCCCCAAAAACCCAAGAAATGCATGCAAACAATGTCGGCAAGGCTCAGGCGGCCGAATTTTTCGACGAAGGAATTTCCAAGCTCGTACATCGCTACGATAAATGCCTTAATTTGTATGGTGACTATGTAGAAAAGTAGTATTTGAGTGTGGCTTTCATCTGTATATAATAAAATTTGTTTCCTATACTTTGTTTATTTTTTTATTCCAAAACGTAATCTACTTTCTGGATAGCCCTCGTAATTATAATATAAAAATCAAATTTCAGGATATGAATTTATAAGAATACAGAGCAGGTATTCATCATCAAATAAGATTTATTGGCAGAGAGATAATAAAGATGTCAAACACATGGAGAAGCAGAACACTTTCTAAAAAATATTAAAAGTGGCTTACTATATGAATATAAAAAAGACAGCATAATATTTGATTATACTTTACAAACTAAGCTAAACCTACGTAAGAATTATACACTTCCTAAAAAAGAAACCTAAAAATCTTATTACATTATACATAAGTAACAATATATATATATATATATATAAGAGATATGAATACTTAAAGGAGTAATTAGGAGCAGTTTAATAACAGGATAACTGTGCAAAATTTCAAAACACAAAATCTGATTCATTTACCTTTCCAATCGAACAATAAGCCATCTAAAATATTTCTATTCATCTAAATTTGATATGTAATCAACAATATATTGCAGCTAGAATATGTGTTAGATAAAGAAGGAGAAATTAATTCCACTACAGTTTACATGTAACAAATTCTGTGAATTTAGCAAAGAATGACTTCTGCATCACATAAAATATTAAGAAATTGGTACTTTTATGTTAAAGTCATATGTTTACACATTAGTGTATTTTGGCTTATTTAATTGGCTCAATATTAGATGTTCTCCTTCAAACCTTTTTGTTTTATTGTTTCAGTTTCAGCCTTTTTAATATATTTCTGTTAGTTAACTTGTTCTTTGATTCTGCTGATATCATACTTTAACTCCATTTCAAAAAGCATATAAATATAAAATAAAAATAAATGCAGAAGAATGGTAGTTTTGTTAATTGCTTACTTTATAACTAAATAAAATAAACAAACCTAAAAATAACAAAAACTATTAACCTTTTTGGGAGGGATGGCCACTATATTGTCAGTTGTGTTTCCTGTTTGAAAAGACAGGGCTGTCCACTTTAATACAGTCAAAAGTCGTTAATTCGGACACCTATAATCCGAACCTCAAAGCTAAAAACCTTCTGCGCATGTGCCGCGTTGACACATGCGCATAGATGTTTACGCGTGCACATAAGACCTTTACGACTCCGCATATGCGTGTGCACAAGTGCAGAATATGTTTTCGCGTGCGCGTTTAATGTATAACGGACGTTATAAGCTAAAATTATCTAATTATCTACTTCAGTTAATGTTCATGATTGCGTTGTTCCTTAATCTTCGAATTGGATCCGGCTTATTACTTTTTTCAGACTGTAAGAGCAATTTTATAAAAGTAAACTTGAACTTTTGATTATGTCAAATAGAATTTCCGATGCTGGAGCTCCCAAAGGATCTACAAAACGAAAGTATGTTTCGATGTCCATCAAACAAAAAGTGGAATTGCTGCAAAAAATGGATAATGACATGAAGAAAGTGACAGAGAGGTTAGTGAAAATGAAAAAATTTCGATTGACAAGTTAGTCGGTATTCTCAGCACAGCAATTACGGGACTTGAACAGCGGAACTTTGTAACTGAACAAGAAATTATGTCTGTTTATAGAATTAAAGAGAAAGTATTATCACATAAAATGAAGCAACTTAAACAACTTACATTGAAAGAAATGTTTAATAAAGTAAACAAATAAATATTAAGCTTTTTTTTTTTTTTTTTTTTGTAAATTTTGATACTCTTTAGATCATAATTGTTCTTTATTTCATAAATTACGGTTTCATATTTTAATTTTAGAATTTCTGCATACTATTTCACGAGATTTAAACTGATGATCTATAATCCGGAAAAATCGATAATCTGGAATCGCCGAAGTCCCGACGAGTCCAGATTAACGACTTTTGACTGTAGTCATATTTTTTCCCCCATTTCCAAGCTAAAGATTGGGATGAAAAGTCAAAGTTGATGTACCTGAAATACAAAGGCCTTTAAAAGACTTAGCTCTTTTAAATGATTTTATATTTCTTTGTATTATATAAATTTTCCCTTATTGAGGAAAAGCATCTAAAGGCCTCGTCACTAATCCCTACATTTTCCTTCTTTTTGTGTAAGAAATTCACCCCACTGAAAATCCATTAAACAACACACAAGGATCTTTGTTGCAAGAAAGGATTAATTTCTTAAAGAGGGCAAAGCATTAGGTTCAAGGATTCCCATCCTTTCAAGCCTCTTACAGCTTCCAATGCTCCGTCCTCAAAAAGTTAAACATTACATGCACACACATGCACAAAAAAAGAAGAAATCATATAACACTTGGCAGAAGGCATTAATGAATCAGATAATAACGAAAGGATTGCAAGATCCAGCAAATGACATTAGTGTTCAAACATCTTTTTATTCCATACATTAATGTTTTTCACACAGCCATTTTGGTTTTGTGCTACATTTAAGTAGGTTGTTTGAATGAAATGGTTATTTGAAAACAACCTTTCTTTGTAAAGTCTATCTTTTCCCCGAAGAAATAAAATAGCTGTTAGCTCATCTCTTAACAAATCATAAGTTAAAAAAAAAATCAATTCTAGTAAAAATAATAATAATAATAATTAAATTTAAAAAAGAAGGGGGGACGAAAAACAGAGTAGCATTACTGGCAGAAAAGCCAAACCAAACAGACACCAAGGAAATACACCCAAATAAAAAAGTGTCAAGTGGCAAGGTTTTAATGAAAAAGTACCAAGTCATAAATTTGATAAAATATTTTAATAAACATTTAAAAATCCATTGTAGTCAGCCTTCAATAAATAGCCCAATCTAATGAAATCAAAGAAGAGATGAATACTAATAATTGTGCATGTGGGGAGGGATTCAAATACTATTAAATTATCCACATACTGGATATTCAAATACTCTTTATAAAAAATGTAAATATAACTAGCAATAAAAAATTTAACAACAAACTGAATAGAAGGTATGCTACAAATTCTGCATCAATGAATATGATGTTAATTTAATGAAAAATAATGCTCTTAGTTAATAAAATACAAAAAGATTTCCATTAAAAATATCTTACCAGTAAACCAAACTACAAATATAGAAATATTTTTACACAAATTGCCTTTAAAATTATTAAGTATAAAATTTCAAAAACTGCATCTAAATATATTTATAGTATAAAAGTATATCTGAACTATGCATTTTCACAAAAACATGGAAATAAACTACATCTGAATATAAGATTAAATACTATATCTGAATATAGGACTTTTAAATAATAGCTAACGTTAAAATTTGCTCATTTAAGCATAATATTTCTCAGCATAAAAAAAAGACATTTTAACTTCCCCCCCCAAAAAAGCTTATTTTAATAATTAAATACATAATAATAGGATTCACTTAAAAAAACATACCACTGATTCCATATCTTTAAGGCTAATAGGTTTTCCAAGCATCATTTTATAAAATGGACGAATAAAGAATGCTGTAAAGATATTTTTAATTAAATTAAAAATTTTTGTTTTTCAAATTCAGTATTTTCATGCAACATAATTTAAATATTAAATTTAGACTGAACAATAAGAAAACACATCATATCAATTTCACAAGTACATACTTTCAAATTCAGCCATTGTATTTTACATATTATCTACGCATACCATTAAAATGTGTGATTCAAGACTGATTAAAAAACCCTGCTGCAAAATATTTGCAAAATAAATAAATAAAATTTACATATTTTGCAAGATTTAAACTTTTGTGAGTAATATAAGACTATCATTTTTATTAAATATTTTATACTTAAATTCTGATTTAGAAGTTTATTAAATGAAAATGCACTTTATACCAAAACATCAACTTTAAAATTTACAAGTAAACTTGCACTTTAATATACCAATTCTCTTTTTAACCGCTTCCCTTACAAATTTTTTTGGAAAAAATTTTAAAAAATTATCACATATTTTATGTTATTATTAAATACAACGAAACGAAACAAACCAAAATATGTAGGTTTTAAGTTGAATTTTTAATTTTTTGAACTTCAAAAAATTAAATATTAGTCTTTGTATGATAGTTTTTGAAACAAGGGACAACACAAAGTGATACCCAACATTCTACACTGGTATCTAGTCTCTTTTCTTACTGGCTTACCACTGGAATCTCTTTCACGGGAGCACAAAATATATTGTCTCGTTGAATTTGATTTTTTTTTTTTAAATTTTTCTGCACCTCTTCATAATCACTATCTGAAAAATCATCGCTTTTGCTATCTTGCATCATTGCCATTATTTTATTATTTTCAACGCATGTATCCTTTTTTATGCATTACTAATCCACAAGCCGACGTATACTATACAATAGGGAAACACATGACCAGTCCCTCCAAAAGAGCCGCGCAGCCAACAAAATTTGGCAAACTACCAATCAAAGCTTAACCTTTTAACTGTCATGCCCGAGATTGGTGTTCGAAAATGTCATGCCCGAGTATTACTCGGGGTAATTTTTTTTGAGTGCATCGTATTATTATACCCGAATATATATCGGGAGACGTTTATTTCGGCTCATCTCTTGTCAAACCTGACTGTATCTCGGGAAAAGTTAATGTACCTCAATTCAATAGATGACAGCACTTTACTGAAGATTTCAAAGGTAGAGGTTTGTAATTTCTTTGGTTCAAGTGCACGGATCTTTTTGCTGTAAAATGGCATCCAGTTCTTTGAAACGTTAATAGATGATTTAGATTCTTCACCGAAGATGAAGGATGTGTGTTTGATGAGTAGTATTCATGATACTTCCATCGTCAGCCTCAAAAAAAAAAAAAAAAAAAAAAAAAAAAAAAAGAAGAAGATATACTCAAGCCGACGACTGTTTCTGGCTACAGTCTAACTATGGGTGGTGTAGATCGCTATGATCAGGAAATATCCTTTCTCCAACAATCCGAAAACGTCAGAAAAAATATTATAAAAAGATACTTTTACATTTACTAGACAAGGTACTTTGGAACTCATATTTGCTCTATAAAAATGTAGTTGAGAAATGTATTACATTTTTAGAATTTCGAATTCCAAGTTGTAGAAGAGCTTTTACATAAATATGATGATGCAGCTTCTGGACAAAAGAATGTTGGCAGACCACCTACAATAGATAACCCTGCCCATCTTACTGAACGACATTTTATTTCCCATATTCCTTCCTACTCCTTGTGAAACGTGAGCCTACGAAGACAGTGCAAAGTGTGTTGTTCGAAAAAGGTCGATAAAAATGGATAAAGAAAAGATAAGGAAGGAAACACCGATTCTGGTGTAGTGATAGTGGAGTTGGTTTGTGCTTGGAAAAGTGTTTCCAGTTGTACCACACAAGACTGAATTACTGAAATACTAATATGGTATTCACTTTTATTTACTTATTTTTTTCATTTATTTATTTTTAGAAAATAATAATTATTTTTTTTTTTTTTTCCCCATTTTTAGAAAATAATGCTCCACTAGAAGCAAACTTTACAACTGCCATGGTTGAGTGGCAGCCGCTGCAAGCAAATATGCAGTGGCTACGAACTTAAAAAATTTTACATGTACTTCAAAATATCAATTTTTAACTATTTAAGTATATTTTAGTTTGTACTAAACATTTGATTTTTCCAATAAAAAAATTTGACAATTTGTGTACCCAAATCATCAAAATAACTTGACAGTTAAAGGGTTAATATTTCCTTTCATTTCCTCCAGGCCGAGTAAAACTGTGATAAAACAAATCATACTAACAAATTCTGCTTCGCGCAAGTTTTCACGGGATAATAATTAACTAGAATATATATGAACCCGAGATAACTCGGGATTATCAGGCAAGCGGTTAAGTTTCATTTTGTTCAAACATGTGGCAATTAGACATAAAGGAACTTAAAATATATTATATTTTATTAATTATGCAGCTTTTAGCTTTGCGATACAAATACCTTAGCTGTAAATTATTGCATACTGTTGCTCTGAAGAAAGACTCGCAAAAGTTTTAGAGGAAAATAATAATGAATGAAATAATAATAATAATAAATTGTTATGAATAAGGCTAATATTTATAAATTGTAACCAATCCTTTAATATTAACTCTGCTGTTAATATAAATTATAGTAGACTCATTCTAGCAACAAGGGTGTCCTCTGGTGAGCAGCCAGAGAAAGACTTAAGTAAAGGCCAGGTGATGAACCTGTTAAGTTGTATCAAACCCTTGCTCTGTATAATTCTTAAAATTATACATTATGCATGTGTATAATTTAAACACTGTAATAATTATTGTTACAATGTAAAGGACTCTTTTATGACCCCATCCATACGATTCCAGATTTTAACATTGTACCAGAAGATTTGTTAAAAAATTTTTTTTATGCTCTCGCTAAACACTACAAGTATCAGTCTGCTCTTGGGCTCATTGCTGCATAATTTCATAACTTTTTTTTTGTCTTTTTAGATTATTAAATGTCACTTTCTTACTCACTATCATTACAACAGAATTTTCTTTATATTTATGTCATATAAAATTCAAGAGCAAAATCAGAAAATATTTTAAAATGCATATCTTTGGAATACATGATAGAGTGTTAGGGGCTGCCATACATTTTTTTTATTATTTTGGCTATATTATTTCTTTTAAAAACTAGCCTAACAGAATTATCATAAAAAAGTATATAATTTTTTAACATGTGCCATTTCATAAACAATATGTAATATTTCTGATCAGACATTTCATGATTTAAATGCATTTTTCTTTAAAAAG